GGTCGACCTGTCGTCCATAAGGACACCCAGGTTCCTCTCCGCAGAGCTGCTCTCCAGCAGGCCCGCCCCAGCCTGTACTGATGCATGGGGTTGTTCCTCCCCAGGTGCAGGACCCTGCACTTGCCCTTGTTGAACCTCATCAGGTTCCTCTCTGCCCAACTCTCCAGCCTGTCCAGGTCACGCTGAATGGCAGCGCAGCCTTCCAGTGTATCCACCACTCCTCCCAGCTTTGCGTCATCAGCAAACATGCTGAGGGTACACTCTGTCCCTTCATCCAGGCCACTGATGAAGTTGAACAAGACTGGGCCCAGTACTGACCCCTGAGGGACACCACTAGTTACCAGCCTCCAACTAGACTCAACGCCACTGATCACAACCCTCTGAGTTCTACCATTCAGCCAGTTCTCAATCCACCTCACTGACCACTCATCCAGCCCACACTTCCTGAGCTTCCCTAGGAGGATGTTATGGGAGACCGTGTCGAAAGCCTTGCTGAAGTTGAGGTAGACAACATCCACTGCTCTCCCCTCATCTACCCAGCCAGTCATGCCATCATAGAGGGCTATCAGATTGGATAAGCATGATTTTCCCTTGGTGAATCCATGTTGACTACTCCTGATAACCTTCTTTTCCTCCACTTGCTTAATGATGACCTCCAGAATGAGCTGTTCCACCACCTTTCCAGGGATGGAGGTCAGGCTGACCAGCCTGTAGTTCCCTGGGTCCTCCTTCTTGCCCTTTTTGAAGACTGGAGTAACACTGGCTTTCTTCCAGTCCTCAGGCAGTTCTCCTGTTCTCCAGGACCTTTCAAAGATGACGGACAGTGGCTCAGCAATGACACTAGAATAATGCAAGCCACAAACCGCACTGTGCCCAGGGATAGTTTCCGGGATTGGAGTTGCAAAGAGTTTTTTAAAAACACCCTTCCACAGGTGCCTGCTTTGCCTATTGAAAGCTGCACTTTGCCAATTTGAACATTCACATGCCTCAGCTTCCATAGGACTATTAGCACAAATATCTTAAAATGTTTCTGGGTATTCAGAAAGTGTCTTCCTTTCTCTAAAGATCTACATCCAGTTAATTAAGACAGAAGCAGCTTCTTCCTCTTTAATGCAGTGGGGTGTTTTTGAAACAGACTCTGAAAGGGTAAAGTCAGCCAACACTGTATAAGAGAAAGTATGTAACAAAGCTGACACATATGTCAGGTACTAAAAAATTCAATGAGTGAGACAGGTTCCCCTAATTTTTAGGGCAGACTAATGTAAATCACTAAGGACAGAACTTGTAGAGGATAAAACAACAGCTAGTAAAATAGTTCAGATACCCAGTAAAGAGGAAAACTACATCTCTCCTCACTAAGTACAGGTAAGATGCAAAGCACCAAAAGACAAAATACTTCAATTTAAACTATCTTAAGTAATAAATCTGACAGAAATTTAATGAACGTGTTTCATACATACACCTGGACTGACTGTTCAAACAACTCTTTTCAGAGTGTGCTGATGTAACCAAGTAGTTATTTCAGCTGTATGTACCATATTTGCTCATAACAGCTTCAATTGACTGGTTAAAGCAATTTCTACAAGCCTGTTCACAAACAGTGTAGTAGTCATGTGCAGTTTAAGCAGGGGAAAAATAGCAAGAGAGACAGTCTATGGCCATTATGCAAGTAATCACAGTACTCAGGAGCACACAGAATGAAACAAAACCAAAACATGCCTCTGATTCATTTTGTAGATTTTGTTCCAGTTGTGCCTGGCTGAGATGCTTCTATGAGATTATTCAGGTGATTTTAGTATGAGTCAAGTTCTGTCTACACTAGAAGTGCTTCAAGGCATGCTTACACTGCTGAATGTTAATGGCATAGGCAGAGGTAGCTTGGATTTTAACAGAGCATCGGTCTACGATAACAGGAAGGTACTGGAGGAAGGAAAAGGACTAGGGAAGAGACTTATGTATGGACAGTTTCAGATTTAAATCCTCACCTGAAGAGGTTTTTTCCACTTGCTCTGCAATGACCGAGTAGCAAAAGCAAGAGGGAACAGAGAGCAGAAGGAAAAAAACATAGGAAGCAGCATCACCCAGTTGATTACCTGGAAGCCAATGACTTGCAGTTCATTGTGAAGATCATCAAGAACTCTCCTACCATCAAAGATAAATGCAGGCTTCAGCATTTTCTTATGAATACGTTCATAATCCAGCTCCTTTAAGGGGCAATTAAAGCAGACAGAATACATAAATAGCATAACATTCCCTTTTTTTTAGTTTCATTTGAAAAATAACATTTTTACCTTAAACATGTCCCATTCAGTGCAAATTACAAGAGCATGAGCTCCATCACAGGCTTCATAGGGATCTTTACTTATAGTGACCAGCCGAGACACTGCAACAGAAGGAAAATAAAGTTTTATTCTACACACATGTTCAGCATTGACCTAGTGCACTCCTGGCAAACGAGTCTCCTTCCTTGCCCTACTCAAACAAGGAGAGTTTCAGGTCACTCATCTAGAGATGTTTCCTGTCAAGACATTTGTCACTTTGATTTTAGTTATTTAAATGAAAGCAGCTTGTATCTGGCATCTGAATAGAGTCAGGGCACTTAAACGTCTGAAGTTAAGCATTCAAATTTGATTTAGACAGTCAAAAGCATCTCTAGAGTTAGAAGTTACTAGGGAGTGTTCAAATGCCAGCTCTCAGTAAGGTCACTGCCTGTACAATAGGAGAACATCAGTTCCTATTTAATGCTCAGTTCACACCAGAGAAGACACACATCTCACTAGGGCTGCCTTCATCCTTTGACTGCCTCAGCAGCTGTCTGGAGGCAACCCTCCCATTCCCCTCTAATTCAAGGGCATGTCAAATGACGTACACCCTTCACTCTTCATCACAGCTCATTCCTCCATCCTCTTCACCTCTAGAAGTCTGATCTATCCTCCCCCATCCACCCATCATCTCCATTTTCCCCCTCCCCAATAAGGAATGAAAACAAAGATCCCAAATACCCCCTGCTTCTCCCCAAAAAGTTTCTAGTTATAGATTATTACTTCAAGGTCTTCCTGAATTTAAGGGAACAGATGAATTTGGAAGTTATGTGGGGGAGAGGAGAATGCTCTACAGTGAATTTCAGAATTATTTCTTTATGTCTACTTCATATATGAAAGCAAGAACCAAGCCAAGACAGGACTCAGACGCAAAGGAGCTGACAGAACAACACTAGTCTTTCCTACTTCTAGACCTTCATCCTCTTCCTTTTAATTATGCAGAGAGAAAGTTTTTTGCATGTGTTCAAATGAAAACTTATCAAAAGAAAAAGATCAATAGTACAGAATTAGCATTTATCTATAAAAGCTACGGGGAAAGTGGGAATAGCTACAGCAATCCTCTGAGCTATGACAATCCTCTAGTAAATGCAGCCAACCGCACATCATTGCCTTGGTGAAAATGAGAAAGTGAATTTATCATATTTAAACAGACCTTGTGTATTTTGAGAATAGAGTGGGGTTTTTCTTCTATGTGGGGTGGAGAATAAGTTTTACATGTGCATTCTTACCTTGGTTATCTTCCGAAACACCCGGATGCGAGAGATCCAAGATGATCTGTTCCTTAGGTACTTTCGGATCATAGATATGGAGCTTTGCTCCTTCATCCATTAAATACTTGCTAATGTAGATACTGGATGACTCTCTAGGGAAGTGAATCAGAGAACCAGATGGCATGTTCTAAGTAATGAAAGTCTCTAAGTGTCATGATATACAATGCCAGAGCTTTTATACCAGCTTTACATAAAACATATTAGTGGTAATCCATGCCAGCAGCAAACTTGAAATCTTGAGGTACGCCAAGTAAAGTAATATGAAAAACAAGTTTATATCTGTCTTGCTGAACCATGCAAGGGAGATACTAAGCCCCAGGAATTTTATTGACCATAATTAACAAGGCATCAATCTTATAAGCATTCCCCATAAGCTGTGGTTGGATAGAGTTGTATAAAGTTTGAGCTTTACAGGAAAACAGAATTAGCCACCTTTGGGAAACAAAGCTGAAACTTTGGCTTCACATAGCAATTTAGAGTCAGTTGCAAAAATGTTTGTGTTCTTCTCTATGGAAGGTGGAAGGACTCTGTCAAAATCTATCTTTGCTTATGCAAGTTAATAAGGACTTAATCGATGCCCCAAGCCTGTCAGTGTTTAAGATGCATTAGGACAACGCCCTTAACATGCTTTAACTTGGTCAGCCCTGAAGTGGTCAAGCAGCTGGATGAGATTATCATTGTAGGTCCCTTCCAGCTGAAAATACTCCTTACTGCTAGAGTTATCTGCTCTAGCTTCTGAACAATTCAGGTGTGTTGCAGAGGTCAAGAATCAAATGTCTCACCCACTTAAGGAAGACTAATCCTTGCTACAAATCAATTCAGCCACAAGCGGTTAAGGGTCCCGTAACTGATCTGGTTTTATTAACACAATTGAATTTGGAGGTTCAGCTGCATAGCTGGTGAAAAATCTAGGGATTCCACATTAATGAACTGAATTTGTTTTCTTACCTTGTGTCCCCAGTATCCTTTTTGAATGCAAACCCTAAAATAGCAATCTTCTTATCAGTGACAGTATTGAACAAGCTGTCAATAATGCGGGAAGCAAACCTTCTTCTCTGATAATCATTCATGTCTATTACCTGAAATTATATAAAATGTGATGGCACAGAAGGGAACCATTTTAAACTATAAACAAATTCTATTAATAATCAAGCCAAGCTACCCACACATATGTTTAACAGAGGCTTAAAAAAGTCAAGTATTTTTACTCAGTATCATAAGTAATCCAAAGATAAATACAGTTAATTTGTGAAATTCTGAGACAAATGATATTTTAATCAGTGACTACATATGCATATACACAAATATTATCTTGCCTTACCTAGTTCAAAGGCTAGGATTTTTTCAGATTGCCTTTTTCTTTTTTAGATCTACAGTTTATTGTATGCTAGGCAGAAATACGGAAAGCAACTTCAGTGTTAAAGTAATTTCTGTCACAGACATCCCATTGCCAGACTTACACTTCCATACATGCCATGTATAGCAACTTGAGAACACTTTTAACCTTTTTAATCCACACTAACAGATTTCGGTGCCCAGATCTAGTGTGGTTAAACCAGATTTAAGTGGGTTCACTCACTCTGACTGTTCCTGTACCTTCCTCCCAGCCTGCTTCATACTTTGACCTCCAGCCCTTAACACACACAGGGCACTGGATCACTAACAGAATAGGAAAAGTAAGTTCCTCCACCTAGTCAATGTTCAACGTGAACTGGAAAGAGCTATACTTCAAAGGCAGCTCAAAAGTAACAGCTGACAGGGTAAGAGGGACACATTTCTTTCTGTAGATATGTTTTCAATTAAGGAAGACTTCAGACTTGGAGCCCTGTCCTGCCTAAAGGCCAGAGCAAATAAGTTCGGATTCTGGTGCTGCTCTGATCAGAATTTGCATCCTGTCCTCAGACTGGTCTGAGGTCTCCCATATGCATGCACTGGGATGAGCTGCTGGCAGTTCAGTGTTGAGGCCACAGAGAAGAGGTTCACACAGTTGCTTATACAGGTGCTTATGTGTGTGCATTACATGACTCAACCAGTGTGGGCTGGGGCAGGTAGACCTCTGCAAGACAACAGTGCTCTGAGGAAGCAGGAGGTGCAGGTAAGGGGTTGCACTACAACACAGCACTTTCTACCTTATCCTAACTCTGCAGCAGCTGCTCTTGCTATGTGATTTGTCCACAGCTTAATAAGCCATATAGAAACTGCAAAGAGCTGCTCTTAAAACAGAGTAAAGGAGCATAAAAGCATTAAAAGCACTTTAAACTAGCTTGTTTACATTAACAATGCAACTTTTTAGGCTTTTATTAAATAAACAGACACCTGCACACAGAGCAAAGCATAAGTGTTCCTACGGCTTTGGGTTGCCAATACACCAAGTAGGCTGCATTTAGAGAAGGACCCTTGGGATCTCAAAGGACAGTGCCAAACCAGTTTGTCTCTTTCAAGTCAGTATTAGTTTTTCCCTATTCATCAGATTATCACTGAGGTAACATGGTTAGTTCCTGCAGCTCCTCCTGCTCCAGGAATTGCCTGTTGTCTGCTTATATCAAATGCAGTAGTTCTTGAAGCAAATATCAGAAGCTAGGGCTCCTTCTTTTTCCTACTGTGCCAACGCATCCAAGTCCTACACTGAACCAAACCTCTCCTAGATGCTCGCACAGGGTTCCTGCAGTATGTCAGTCTCAGCTTCACTGATGGGATTGCAAGCCTCTCCACCATGGCTAGACTATACTAATGAAGTGCACTTTTTAATTAAGACATCAATCTGAGCCTCTTCAGAGGTAGACAGCATAAACCCCATGTCTTCCTTGTCCCAAGCAACTGATGTAAGAGTTATAGTTGCAAGCAAGTAACTAGGCTGCTCACCCCTGGCTGGAGGTTAAACTATCTGAACAGGATGCATAAAGCCATTGGACATCACAGATAGTGTAAGAAGCTGACTAAAGTCAGACAGCACTGTGAGGGATGACTGAGTTTTACAAGCAGTTATGGAGTTATTATCCAGCCAAGCTTCAGACAACTGGAAGGGAGTATTAGGGACCTTCTGGGGAATAGAACCTTGCAAAGCCAACAGAGCCTAGACAACCCCATCAACAGTACCAGATGGCCACAGCAACCTAAGTAATGGTATACGAAATACCGGACTTCAGTATGGATGTGGCACAACTGAATAATGATGAAAAAGTAATTATAGGCAGGTTGTTTATTTGGCAGACTGGGATAGAGAAAAGGGGGGGGCGGGCAAGGCTAGCCAAAAGGAATATTGGAAAAAAGGAAAGCTACTAAGAAGGCGGGCAAATCATGCACTTGGTATTCTGGGGGCATCTGCTAGGCAGCCTTGTACTTGATCACCACAGCCTAAATCAGGACAATAAACCAAAACTATTCTTTTGACCATACCACATACATCAAAGTAGCTTTCTCAGCCAGGACTGGGAAGAGGAGTGAGGTGCTTTCACTGGTTAATAGGGAAACACTTGCTAGTAGAGACTGAGCATCCTGTAACTGCTGCATTGGTGCTAGGCCTGAGAGCATCCACATCTTCCCAGCCATTCTTAACATTAACCAGGGAATAGCAGCAACCATGTTTATTTAGAAGAATAGCAAGTTCTGCTGAGTTCTTTCACAAAAGAAACTGTAGAAGTAGACCCTGAAGAAAAGATCATAAGCTCTGAATTCAAAGTGGACAGATGTAACCATGTGCAAGAGGAAGACGGGAGTCCAGACATGCTTGTACTTCACATTTACTATTGGTAATTCTAGACAACTTCCCAATCCTTTTGATCCAGACAATGTAATTCACCCCCAAAAAGCCAAAGCACCCATGAGTATCAAACGCCAGTGTTAGGCTGAGGGCCCTAAAACACAGTCAATATTAAGGTATCTGTTCCTTAAAGCTGAAACACAGATTATACATGGACAATGCCCAAAAGTTCAATGCCTGAAAGCTGAAGAAACATGACCCCCCTCAAAAAAAGTAGTGAAGAATTTGTACCTGTTGCCAGTAGCGGGCTACTTCAGGTAAGTTCAGTGCCTCACAGAGGTACACTAAATTCAAGACATCCTTCTGAAAACAGCTACCTCCAAACCCTGAAAGAGAAAATGGTTATTTTACAGGTGACTAAGGTACTATTCTAACCCAATCTTTGAATAAAGTAGGTTTTAGCAATCACTGACAGTCAGCATTATGATTTTTCCCAGTATTTCCCTGCTAACAAATGAAAACCTTAAGAATCTCTCAAAATCCAACTCCTAGACATACTTACTTTGTCAGTTACAGAAGGCCTGAAATCTGCCTCAGGTCCCACTGAAGCCAATGGAAGTTTTGACCTAGTCTCAGGGAAACATAACCCCTAGTTTTTCATTATCGCAAGTGGGTGGACAAGCTCCTGGGTTTGCTCTCCCCCATTTAGAGCTTTAGATGAATGCTTCTCAGAACAAGTATGTTAAGATTAGGTTCTTCCTTCCTCCATCCCCAAATGGATATCTAATCATTGCCAAGAACCAAAGATCACCCCAGCTGACCAAGGGAGAACTGAGACAATTAATCAAGGGATCCTTGACCCCTAGAACTTTGCTCAGCAGTCCCAGAAGCAATACATTATAGAAGGAATTACAGTAACCTAATAGGAGTTTTGGTAATGTATTTGCTATCTGCTTTTCACTCTTGCACAGATTGATAAAGTTATTTTAAAGTAACACTTTCCCTTCCTAGCACAAAGACTGTAGCCATATACATAGGCTTTAGTCTTGATCCATAAGTCTGTTGTACTGATCATTTTATCACATCTTACTCTATTAAATCTAAACGGCTGAAATCATCCTACAAATCAGAAGTTGCCATCACACATTCTGACTAAAGGCATCCCCCTCTGCAGGCCACTGGCAGCAACTCCCAAACAAAACTGCAGCAGTTACAATTGGGAAGACATCCTGGGGAGCACTACCATCAGCAATGCTTCAGAAAAACAAAGTTCAAATTTCTTTCCAATGTCCCAGGCAGGATAAACCATGCACTCTGAACTCTCAGGCTTCTGATAGCCAGGGTCTGGGGCAGCCCCAGTCCTAGACATTTTACCAGAAAAACTGATTTATGCTAGTACTCTACAGCAATATTTTCCACACAGTCATGCTGTGGAAGATTTTAGAGTATCAGATCACTTACTTCAAAACACTACTACAAGACTCACTGCAGTATTAAACAGAAGCCCGTAAGAAAAAAAAAAAAATTATTTTTCATTTACCAACACTGGCTTTGAGAAACTTGTTTCCAATTCTTTGGTCTGTTCCAATAGCTCTTGCTACTTCTTCAACATCTGCTCCTGTAGCTTCACAGAGAGCACTGATTGAGTTAATGCTGCTGATTCTTTGGGCCAGGAAAGCATTAGCTGCCTGTAAATAAAAAAACGTAATAGAGAACTTGATTCTTCCAGACACAGAGATGTCCACAGAACACAGGGAGTTACTACTGGAAGGATTACTTATGTAACTCTGTTGAGATACAAAAACGGTAACACAACTAGATTAATACATAAATGCCAGTTAACAGGATCTAAGCAAAATAATGTAATGCTTAACTTGCAGAGTTTGAAACGTTTTATGATGGTAACCAGTGTCTGCAGCAGTGGAGGTTTACTCTCAAGTAACACAGCAATAAAAGTGAGAAAAGGATTCAATGGAAAGCTGATATAATCTATTAGCTCAACTAAGATAACTGGAAAACATTAACATCCTTTGACGTATACACTAGGTCCTCCCAGCCTCATCCGTCTTTCCTAACTGCATCACTGTCAGTGAGCTTCTGAGCTTTGTTTCACTTACACCATTTGCTCATCGCAGACAACACCAGTGAGTCACACTAACCAGTTTAGAAAGTTCTGATGACCAGGTATTGGTTGTAAGGATTTTTTCTTTGGGCACCCAGTGCTCATAAACAGCACACAGAGCATGGACAGCTTTCTGTCCCTCTGGAGAATCATCTCCACCGATAAGCACTCTGTCTGGGTTCTTCAGGTCTTTGATGGCTGTTCCTTCCGCGAGGAACTCTGGGTTAGACAGCACCTACAGGCACAGAAATGAAAGAACAACAGATAAAAGCCAAAAGTAACAAGCAGCCTTTAAATACACAACTCAAAGATTATGCTTACCTGCAAATCCAAGTTAGGCTTAGTATTAGCATCAAATATTCGACGAATGCTCTCTGCAGCACGTACTGGAACAGTGCTTTTCTCAGTGACAATCTTATAGCCATTTGAGTTTTGTACAATTCGCCTAGCACAAGCTTCAATGTATTTCAGATCAGCTGCTCGGCCTTTTCCCATGCCATAGGTCTTTGTTGGAGTGTTAACCTAGTTACAAATACATGGAGGGGGAAGGAATGTTATAGGTCTCTTAGTTTCACCTCATCAGTAGCTCTTGTGTTAAGAATGACAGACATTTTCCTTCCCAGAGTCCAGCTTGCTTCTACCCCAGAATTGTTCTAGTTACCGTATCAGGCAAACGGCTATTAGCTTTCTCAGCCACCCATTTTGTCTTCTAAAGAAAGCTCATTGGCCTCTATTCACACAGAATTTAAACGGGCAATTCATAGCAGCTCTGCAGGCTTCAGTGAAACTTCATCCTTATTCTGGAAACACCAGTAATTTCTTCATGATTACAGCCAGCCACCTTTTGTTTCCCGTCCCACATTAGGAGTGCAAAAACTCACATTACAAAAATCTTGCTGCAGTATGGCAGTTATGGTTTAAACCCACTTTGCAGTGAAACTTAAGCGTAGAGCTGCTGAAAATTGCTATCTTGAAGTACACAGAAAAGGCAACATGAGGGAAAACCCATTATTTATATTAAGACAGAGGGTCCTTTTCATTACAAACTGAAAGAAATGCCAACAACATGTAAAAGACAGCAGCATGTTTTAAGCCAAGGACAGGTGGCATTATATGGCCTGTATGAGTGGCAGTCATTCAGCCAAGTAGCATTCATTTTAGACTCAATGAATGGAGAAAAATACTATCAGAAAGAGAGCTCTGTACTGAGGTGCCCTAACAAAGAGGGGCTCCCAAGAAAAGAGGATGCAAGCAACAAAAATAACTCAACTGTGGCCTACCAAGATGAATAGCAATCAGTTCTTTTCGATTCTGCATTAGGAACTAGCTTCTAGATTACGAAAGATCACACTGTTTGACTGGATCCTCTTCCTTGTGGTGTCAGCTTAGAAATATTAAAGCTAGACAATATGAAAGCCAGTCCCTCTTCCATTAATACTGTTTTTTTTAAAGCTTCTAGAAAGAAGTCATCTTCGTAATCCAATAATCAGTATATTATTTTGCATCCCTTTCTAGGAACCGTATCACTATTAAAGTTTCATGGATTTCAGTAGTACACTGCAACAACAGATCTGTACTATATTCTGTCCTCAGACCCCAAACATCTCACCAGGCTAAACACCATGGTTTTGACTTAAAGCCTGATCATTTGTCAAACATTCTACTAGCTACAAGAAACAGAAAAAAAATAAAAAGCCTGCTTAACACTTTTCCCACAGTATACATGAAGAAAACTGTGAGACAGTGACACGACATTGCTAACAATCTATACGACAAAACAAAGGCCTCTTCCTAACGTAAGAGTAACATAATGATTTGATAAGGAAAAAAAAACTAAACACAACAAACACACACAACCACCTTCTGCCCCTAAACTTACAGAAATAAATACAAGATCAGCTTCTTTAATGGCATCATCAATACTGGTGGAAAAGAAGAGGTTTCTTCCTCGACAGGACTCCACCACTTCTTTTAACCCTGGCTGAAAAAAATGCAGGAACAAAAGCAGTTAGGGTTAATGCAGTTAGAAGAACAGTAAACCGCATGCTCAAACAAACAGCGTATCATTTCAGATACAGAAAGACTGTCTCTGAACTTTCAGCCACACTGAACTGTTATTTGCACAACCAGATTTCAGGCTCCTGTTATTCCCACGCTCAATTCTATTACCATGAGCAACAATTAAAAAAATACCTGTAGAGTGATGTTAAGTAGGCTTGAGAAATGAAGTGTTACATTATTCCCTAGGCTGCAAACAGGTGTCCCCAACTTTCCTTTTCCCTCAACTACACATTCCATGGTCTCCCCAACATCAGATATTAAACTGATTCAGCACAAATAAACCCACAAAGCAGCCTCTGTGAAAGCAGCAAGCCCAGATCCAGTGAAAGGAAGGCAGTGGAGACACACAGGACATAAAGACCACTCCTTTTGTCAGCCACTCATGTTTGGACCTGATTAAACTTATCATGGCACCAAACCTGCAGCGTGGAAGAATCACAGGCTCAGTTTCATGGGATTCTTTCCAGAGACACATGTATTGCACCAGAACACTTCCCCTTCCCTTAATACCGCCACACAGACAAGAGGAGCAGGAGGCCATGTGTACACGAGTGACTAGTCCTCTGTATTAAAATGGTCTGCAAAATCATTTCACTAAGATATAGTTGTCATAGACAAAAGAAGCCTTTACTCTTTGTTTGAACAAAAAAAAAAAAAAAAAAATCATGTGCCATAACCTCGCAATCAGATCTCTAACATGGGACGCCCATCATGACCAAGCTGTCTGAGTGAGTGCCAGAAAGGCAAAGGTTCACTGGAGGGAGAGAGCGGAAAACAAAGCAGAAGCTTTCTTACACAAGACATTTTTGCTGTCTCATTTTATACCAAATACCTACTTAAAAGGAAAACAAAGGTCAGCACAGGCAGAACAATGCATGTTACAACCCATCAAATGTTCGAACTATGGTTTTACTGGGATGTAACTAGAAAGACAACCAACTAGACAATTTCTGACACTGGAAAAAAAACCCAAAACAAACAAAAAAAATACAGAAAACCTCACTGTGCAATGACTCAATTTTACAACTGTCTGAACTAATTCTTGGCAGTTTTTGTACGTTCTTTGTAAGCAAAGGACACCATTCCAAGAAACAGATGTTGCAAGTTTGGTTTTGGGGTGGGTTTTTTTTAAACATGCCAAGACTAGCTCTACTTTAACTCCTTCAGTCTAAACGTCTATGGAAAACAAAGTACCTTCTTTCATAATCTCTATTCATCTCTCACCTGCTAATCTGAGCACTATACACATTTCCTTTGAATACATATGACAATACATGTGCATATTCATCTTTGCTTAAAGAGTCACAGTATAGGTTTGTTTGTAAGAGGAAGCAAAACCTACATTAGTGTTACAGCACTGGCAGGATTCAGAAGATTTCTCATAGCAAAAGAGTAACTGCTTGTACCAGGCAACATGCCTTGTCTTTGCGAGCCGAGTGAAGATTAAGTTTTCACTTCCATAAAAGAAAAGAACTCAAACCTATAAAAACTATATCTCATGGAAGAATGAGGGAAAGAAGAGACCTACTCTCTAAGGGTGAAAAAGAGTGAAAAATACAAAGTGCTAAGAGAAGCAAAACAGAAAAGTGCTTCAAATTAAAGTAATTCTGTAACAGAGCGAGTGTGACACACTTAAAAATAAATTTTATCTGGCCTAATCCTCCCAGGCCAGATTGGAGGTTTATGGTGCAAGTGACTCAGGAACATGGCTGTCCATCTCACAACATGGTCAAGATCACAGAATCACAGGATGGCGGGGTTGGCAGGGACCTCTGTGGGTCACGTGGTCCAACCCCCCTGCCGAAGCAGGGTCACCTACAGCAGGCTGCATAGGACTGCATCCAGGCAGGTCTTGAATATCTCCAGAGAAGGAGACTCCACAGCCTCCCTAGGCAGCCTGTTCCAGGGCTCCGTCACCCTCAGAGGGAAGAAGTTCTTCCTCATGTTCAGACGGAACTTCCTCTGCTTCAGTTTGTGCCCATTGCCCCGTCGCTGGGCACCACTGAAAAGAGTCTGGCCCCATCCTCCTGACACCCACCCTTCAGATATTTATAAGATCCCCTCTCAGCCTTCTCTGCTTCAGGCTGAAGAAGCCCAGCTCCCTCAGCCTTTCCGCACAGGAGAGATGCTCCAGTCCCCTCACCATCCTCGTAGCCCTCCGCTGGACTCTCTCCAGTAGCTCCTCATCTTTCTTGAACTGGGGAGCCCAGAACTGGACACACTGCAAGACGGTTAGCCCAGACTGGATTTTGCCAGTATTTAGAATGGGAATAGAGCTTACCACCCATTATTACACACTCATATTGTGCTACCACACAGCAGATAATATCTATAAGTAAGAAAACCATGTTATTATGATTAAATCAGGTCCCAAAAGAAAGTCATAATGATTTAATACAAATTGTTATCTATACCGTTACATTTTTCCTTAGCAGACCTTTCATAAATGATCCTTCAATAACTGCCTGCACTAGGTACATTAAGTTATTTCAAAAAATCTGGTTTAATGAGCAGCAGTGACAAGCAGCTGTTCC